TCATTGTTGTTTGGCGGGCCGGGCTGGATTCAAACCTGCCACCTTAGGTGTATGTGGCTGGAGCCTTAGCCACTTGAGCCACAGGCGCCAAGCCAAATTCATCTTTTTCTTTTGCAATTTTATAGTGATTCTTTGAGGTCTAATTTGAAGTTAAGGCCAACCATTTCTGCTAGGTGCCTGTGAGCCCATTTTACACTGGACCACTTTAAACTAAATTATCATCTTGAGGTTTCTTTGAACACACAAATATTGAAAACTTGGTCTGCCAACTTGTGTGTTCATTAATTTGTCATTAAACACTTTTAGGCAGCTTCCTCATCCAGCACCAAAGCTTAAGACTAACAGATCTCCTTGTGTATAGTGACTTTAGAGAGAGCGTAACCATTTTGGTCACTACCTTCATGTGAGGAGTTTTCTATTATACTCTCCAACTAAATAAGCCCTTGGTTTTAACTCTTGTTCCAGCAAGGGCCAGGCATGCAATTGTGTACTACAGAATTCCAGGGGGAATCTTTCATATAAACCACACCTTTCACATTGATATACACTGCAGTCTATAGGAGTTGGAGCAGTCTACTGGAGTTGTGCAGTGTCCAACCTGCACAACCACATGTGGCGGTTCTGTTTCCATCCCCACAAAACAGTGGAAATTGAAGTTCAAATTCACCAGGTAAATAAGGGCCCACAAGGTGAAAGCTGGGTTTAGTGCTTTGGTTTTATAATTATATAACTGACAGAGCTCGAATAAAGAATAAAGTCAGTGATTTCTCCCTTTTGAAGTCCTTAAAAGGGTAGGCATATTCACAATTTATAAATTGAATTGATTTTCTGACATAATTTCAATAGAAATACCCATCATGTGCCCCAATAAAAGAAACTATAATGTGGTAAGATGCTGTTTGTTTTGCTTTGTTTATTTTTTAGATGTGGACTTTCCAGTTGTTCGCCAGCCTTCAAATGCAAATGAGAAAACACAGCTAATCACAGAAGAACCTCGATCTTACTGCACAGACTCTTGATAGTGAAACCACTGAGAGTCCCCAGGACTTCCCCTTGGTTCAGCCACATCTCCAGGTGGTCATGGGGGAGCATGTAGGGCCATAAAATGCTGTGAACTTTTCTATATTTGTATTTTATTTTTAGGTTAAGGAAAGATGATTGCTACATAATTTTCTCAGTATGCAGACTTTCTCTTTGACTAGAATTCCTAATGAAACACATTCAATTCCCATCAATAAAGACCTGAAGATTTATTTTATGCTCTCTGCATGAGGTAAGACAGTGGCATTGGACAGTCTATATGAGCCAGTCTTTTATGGGAGGCAGACCTGATTTCTTATAGACCAAAGTGGTATTTCAAAACAGAAGCCACTTTTCATCCATTATCTAAATCAACATTCATATCTACCATGAACATCATCAGCAATTTTTGTGTGTGTGGAACATTTTCTCTGTGAATAGTCAATACGATTATAGAAGTATTTCAAGAGGCAGGAAAAGATGGTTAGATTTTTAACAAATCACATTATTTTAAAGGTTTTTTTTTTTTGAACATTAAATAAAAATTGGCATTTACTGAAACCTGTCAAGTAAAATTAGAAAGAAACAAGTTTGGGGTGCACTTTTTGACTGGCTTAAAAACAAAACAAGGCTGGAGATGGTGGCTCAAGTCTGTAATCCTAATATTCTGGGAGGTGTTAGGTGGGAGAATTGCTTGAGGTTAGAAGTTTGAGACTAGCCTGAGCAATAGCAAGATTCATCTCTACAAAAAAATGGAAAAATTAGCCTGGTGTGGTAGAGCATGCCTGTAGTTCCAGCTACTTAGGAGGCTGAAGCAGGAGGATGACTTGTACCCAGGAGTTTGAGGTTGTAGTGAAATGTGATGGTGCCACTGCACTCTACGCACTCTGTCTTAAACAACAAAACAAAACATCCCCTTCCATCAGCTGTCACTTAAAAGCAAAACAAAACAAAATGAACTTCAACCTAGTTAAATCTTACAAATGATCAGGCGGCACCTCTGGCTCAAAGGAGTAAGGCGCCAGCCCCATATGCCAAAGGTGGCAGTCCAAACTCAGTCCCAGTCAAAAACTGCAAAAAAAAAA